GTTCTGGAAAGCCCGATAGCGCATGACTTCTTGGATTGGTCCAGGGACACATTCAGTCCAGATGAACACTACTGGGTGACGCTCAACCATATCAAAGGTAAAATGGCGGTTTTAAACAGGTGCACAGACACAAAACTCCACGCTTGTTTAACAGCTAGCACAAAACTATTAAACATGTACTAATGTGAGTATGATGTGATATAAACAAAAGATGATATGAAACAAGGTTCTAGGTTCAAGTTTCCTTATTAACTGGAGCCTGTGTCTGTACCTATGTGGGCTTTCTTTAAGTACTTCAGTTCCTTCTCATAGTTCAGGAGACTGAATGGGTTTCTGTCAAGTGACCTATGTAGGTTATACTTTTCTTTTTCATTTTTGTCAGCTAGAATAGACTCCAGCCTGCCTGTGACCATTTGTTATCCTCATACATTTCATTTCATTACCCCCTGGTAAAATGAAAACTTATCAGGAATTATAACAAGTTTAACTTTTGCAAATTTGATCAATTTCTCTACTTTTAATTGCTTACAGACTGCGAATGCTACCCCTTCCTTAACTTTTCTTTGAGATGTATCAAGAACTGACTCTCAAACAGCAGATGAATGAGGCCTGAGCAGGGCTAGTTAAACCTTGATAATTCAATTAGGTCATATAATTACCAATTTTGTCTGATTACATGTTTTAAGAAGCTCCAGGCAGTCGCATTGATGGAGGCTGGGAAGGAGCTATCCGGGCAATCAAATGGCGGGATCAAGAAGGAAGTGCACACAGTGGTTGCAAAGGTATAGTCATATATGTCAATAAAGACCGGATTAGTTACTCTCCCAGAGATTAAATTCTACCAATATTTCCTAATTATTTAAATTATAAAAATGTGGTACAAATTAGGTATTTAGTTTTGTAATCCAACAATAAATTATTAATCCCACATAAATCTTTGTGAGCAAGTCACATGTACATCCATAAATAGACACACACACACACACACACACAGATATATATACACACACACACATCTAT